CCAAAACCACTGTCAGGCATGATGCGCCATGCCTAGATCCCAGCACTCAGAGGGCAGGGTCAAAAGGATCAGTGCAAGTTTGATGCATAGCAAGGGATACACAACATAGCAAGACCCTGTCTCAAAAATAATATTTAAAATCCAGAGTTCTGTGTATCAAAGGGAGCTCTGGATTTCCCTCCAGGTATGACTAAGAGGCTCTTAATGGGTGGAAAAACCACACTTTGGGTGGGCTGATTTGGGTTCTCAGAAATGATGGACAGGGAGGGGACAATGACATTGACGGTGTTCACCTACCCCCTCAAGGCTGACTTCCACACTCCTGGCTGCCTATGGAGGTTGAGCCAGGTCAAAGGGCCAAGGCCACAGGCCTGACTCAGCCCCGGGGAGAAGGTACTACTCACTTGAAGTAATAAGCTGCAGGTTTCAGAGCAGAAGCAGGCTCATTGGCCACAGACCACATCACAACTGCAGGGTGATTTTTGTCCCTGCGCACCAGCTCGTCCATCACCTCTAGGTGGTGCCGAAGAGACTCGTTGCCAAAACTCTGGCTGTGGAGGCAGAAAGGAAAGGGTGGGTCACCAAGGGCTCTGAGGAGAGAGAGCTGGGCAGGCTGGGCAGTGTGGGCAGTGAGGGGCACTCACGGCAGCTTGATGCCCACACCAGGACACTCATCAATGACCACAATTCCGTATCGATCACAGAGCTGGAGGACCTCCTCTGAGTAGGGGTAGTGGCTGGTGCGGAAGGAGTTGGCACCAAGCCATTTCAATAGGTTGAAATCCTTTATCAGCAGTGGCCAATCGAAGCCCTTCCCTCGGATCTGGGGGACAGCAGAGCTGTGTGACCTCTGCCCTTATCCACTGGAGAATACCCGCTGTCTTCTGCAGCCCCAGCCCCTATAGAGACACCTCCCTGTTCCCATCTTGGCTCAGTTCACACGCCCAAGCCCATGACAGCCTCCTCAGAACACATGAACTCCCAACATCCCACATAGGGGTACCAGTCACAGCTCACATCCGAATCCTCATGCTTGTTGACGCCGTGGAAATAGAAAGGCTTCCCATTTATGAGAAACTTGCTCTCGGTGACAGCCACTGTTCGAATCCCGACAGGGAGGGTGTAGAAGTCGGAGTCAGACACAGTTCTTGCCATTCTCACCTAGGAGACCAATGTGCCGGGCAGGGGCACCCAGGTAGACTGAGCCTCATCCTTCCCCACAGGAAGGACTCGTCTCATGCCTGACACTTTGGAGCTTTTATTTGTTTTCAAGACAGGGTTTCTCTGTGTATCTCTTGCAGTCCTGAAACCTGCTCTGTAGACCAGGCTGGCCTCGAACTTACAGAGATTTGTCTGCCTCTGCCTCCTGAGTGCTGGGGTGTGCCACCACCACCCGGCCTGTCCTTTCAAATCAGACCTTGTGTATCCTAGGCTGGCCTCAAATTTGCTTGAAGCTAAGGATGACCCTGAACTCCTGACTCTCCTGCGTGTAGCTCTCAAGTGCTAAGATAACAGGTACGCACCTCCACGTCTAGCTGGCTATTTTGCTTTTTGGATTTTTTTTTTTTTTT